GTCTCCTAAACCGGGCGGCTCCTCGCCAGCTCGTTGCCCTGGGCTCCTCGCCGTGGGCTCTCCTCGCAGGCTCCTCGCCAGCGTACGACTACAGCCGGCTCCTTGCCTTGCTGACGACAACAGCCGGCTCCTCGCCACGCTGACGACCCTCGACTAGGCTCCTCGCCCGTCTAGGAACTACCCTCGACTGGCTCCTCGCCCCGTCTAGGACTCACCCAACAGCACTGGCAGCAGTGCACCAAGGTCGCCCCTGGCCTATAGAGCCGTGAAGCCCGTTCACACCCCTGAACAAGGCCTCCCAGTTAGGCCGAGGTCTTACATTGGTGGACATTCAGGGAAACGGTCCACTTCCCTGCTCTATTACGGCCAGCTCATCATTCTATTTCCTGTCTAATCATTGCCATTCACTTCCTATCCTATCTGGTCCATTATAATGCCTTTGTCGACGTGGCTTCCCAGGTCCCAGTGGGATGCCCTGTCACCATTCCGTGAACTCGAGCGCGTGTTCCCGTCGAACAGCGCGCGCGAGTACAGCGCCCGCACCCTCTCCGCGACGAGCGCGCCTCGAGGCTACCCTCCACCCCTTTCCGCCACTCCCCGCGACTCGCCAGCTCCCGCCGAGCTCTCTGCCCTCGTCTGGAGACCCGTGGGAACTGAGCCAGCGCGTAAGCGCCGGAGCGCGTTGAACGCGCGGCCCTCGGTGCTCGCCTCTCGCGCCGACCACCTGCATCCATCCGCCTCGCACCCGGTCGCCCACTCGACGGTTCAAGGCACCACCACCCCGGCGGGCAGCCCTCAAGCGGAGTACCGAGCTGCGCGAAGCTGCCGCGCGCTCGGTACAGGTAGCTGCCCCGCCGTCACCGGCACAAGACCCGCGCGCGAGCATCCGCGCGCACTGCGCGACGGCGAACGCGATGCATCGACGCGCACGCTAGCGCACCGACCGGAGGCCCCTCACCCCGTACGGACGGCCGAGGCGCTGCGCAACTGCGAAAACGACGCACCGGCCGGTTCGACGCGCGCACGAGCAAACGCAGACGAAGGCCAGCGCGCCGCGCGTACGACCGGCGTGCCCCGCGCCTGCAAGACTGCCTCGCAGGACGTGTCAACGCGCACAGCCGCGCACCCCGGGGACGCGTCGACGCGCACGGCCATGCCCCGCAGGGACGCGCCGACGAGCGCGTGGACGACCCATCGCGAAGAGAAGGGCAAGGAGGTTGGCAGAGAGGGGAGGAGAGCCTGCTCGACTCTGGTGAGTACCCCAGTCCCTCACCCTCCATCCTCTCCACCTCCCCCGCGCTATGTGCCCTTGCCCTCGCCCTTGCCCGCCTCTGCTCGCTCGTTCGCGCTGCGGACCGACGCGCTCTCGACCGATCCGCGTGCGCTCCGCGAACGCGACCCGCCGGCTCCCTTCGGACACACCCGCCGTCTGCCGTCTCCCGCACCCCCGCACCCGCCGTCTCCTGCACGCTTGCACCCGCCGTCTCCCGCGTGTTCGCACCCGCCGTCTCCCGCGCGCTCGCACCCGCCGTCGTGCGTGCGCTTCGCGGTTCCGTCCGCCACCCTCGCTCGGCTCTCTGCACGCTCGCCCCTGCTCGACCTACCCTCTTCCTTCGAGCGCGCCCGCCGTCTGCCGCCTCCCTCGCGCTCGCACCTGCCCTCGCTCGCGCGTTTCGCGTTTGTACCCGCCGCACTCGCTCCTTCCTCGACGCTTCCGCCCGCCGCGCTCACCCCGTCCTCCGCACGCTCGCCCTCATTCCCGACCGACGCGCTCCCGATCGACGTGCCTGCGATCCGCGAATGCGTCGCACCGTCTTCCTTCAAATGCGCCCGCCGTCTGACGTCTCCCGTGCGCTCGCATCCGCCCTCGCTCGTGCGCTTCCCGGCTACGCACGCTTCGCCCTCGCTCGACGTCCACTCGACCGCCTACGGAACCACCCCGGCGAACGGCCCTCAAGCCATGTACCGAGCTGCGCGAGACCGCGCGCTCGGTACCAGAAGCTGCCCCGCCGTCACCGGCTCCGCTGGGCCCGAAGTCGAGCACCCGCGCGCGCTGCGCAACGGTGAGCCCGACGCGTCGACGTCTCCTGCGTCCTCGCGCCTGGGCTCGCGTCTGCGTTTTGCGGCTGCGCCTGCCTCCCTCGCTTCTCTCTCTACGGTGTCCCTACTACCCGACTCCGCTCCCGTTCCGAGCTGCTCGCACGCCGCTGTGCCCAGCCAGTGTCCCGACACTCCCCCGTCCTGCAACCATGCGCCTACCCCTGTGTCGTTACGCCGCCACTCGCCCGACGCGCGGCTGCCTTCACTTGACACGAGGTCTCTTCCCCAACGACAGGAAAACGGGCGAGAGTTTGGTGGCAAGACTCGCAATGGGCAAGTCCCCGCTGATGCGCTAGTACGTGAGGAACAGCCTGCGCGCGCTGTTTCACCGCACTTGCACGCGCGAGCTAAAGTGCGCGCGCACCACGAGCAGCAAATTCAAGCCGCTGCGCGACTCGACGAACGGGCTCAGGCCTACTGGCGAGCCTACGCATTCGCGCAACAAGAAAGCATGCCTGCGCGCGCCGCCTCACCGTCGCCCGTGCTCACCGCACGTTCACTCGCACTCGACGCACCCGAAGTCGGTGGACCAGCAGGCGGCTCAGAGGTCGTACGATTCCGCGCACCCCGCAGCTACCCTGCCGTCCCGAATATGCGGCGCTCGCGCTCGATGTGGTCAACTTCACTCGACGCGCCTGCACCATCGCTCGAGCACGACGGTTGCGTGCAAATTATCCCGACGGACGAGCCGCGTCCTTCGGTCGAAGCTGTGACCGCGATGCGATCCTACGGCCCCGGAAGCTTGCCTGGGGGGCACCCCTCTTGTTTTCACGAGCACACGGCACATCCGTCTACGGTAGATGCCCCAGCATCCCTCGAATCCGGCCGCGCCTCTCCGTGTTCCGTACGCCCGTGGTTGTCGGAAGACGTGTCCGTCGTCGGTACTCCCTTTCCCGGATCCACGTGTTTGCCCTCGCCGTCACACTTGTTGTCTCCAGCTGTTAGAGTTCGTGGGCCTGGAACCCTAGACTCGGGGGCCGGGCTGCCTGTGAACTCGACGCTTGGTGGTCGCGGCGCGACCAGGAAGGCGTTGTAGTGTCGTCGTGAGGTCGTGAGCGAGGCGAGGAGCTCCCGTTGGCGTCGTAGCAGGGCGAGGAGCGCTGCTGTTGTCGTAGCAGGGCGAGGAGCCGCGCCTAGAGGTGAGTCCTAGAACTGGCGAGGAGCCAGGTCGAGGGGGAGTCCTAGGCGAGGCGTGGAGCTCAAGCCGAGAAGGAGTGCTGAACGTACTCGGACGGCGCGGTGTCGCACACGGACGAGGTGGTGGTTCAGCAGTAAGAATGGATTACTTCCCAAAATGGAAGTCAAGTGGCTAGGTACATGGAGATAAGATGAGATGTACACTATCAGTTCATAATCTAATCTAATCAGTGAGCATAGTGATGCCCACCCATAACACCAGCATCAAATGTGCCCCCTCCTATGCGCTCTTCTGTGCCCTCGTCACCGCTCGGCCCGCCCTCACGCAACTGTGCCTCTCCGCTTTCTGTGCATCTGTCATCGCCTGACCTCGCATCCTGCAGTTCCGCATCCGCACTCGTCCCGCAACGCGAAAAGCTCGCCCAGTTCTGGGGCAGTTTCCTGCGGAAACCCTAGGTTCTGACAAGTGTGTGATTTGCCACGCCTTGTCTGGATCCTGGGGGGCAAGATCCTAAGTGCCTTGTATTGTCCCAGCCCACCCACCCTCTACCACGCCTCCTTTATCCTTACGCCCACCTCTTCTTGTTGGAATCTCGAGCCGAAACTCCCCACGGATCGTTCCGACTTGAGATTGGGGGGCAGTAGGGGGTAGGGGAGGATAGGCACCTAGGCTAGAGGGGCCTGCCGACCCTAGCCCGGGCAGGACGGCCACTCCCTGCGAGTAGGACAGCTTAGGATGGAATCCAAGCTGAAGGCTTAGCCATGGGACTGGAGCTCGGGATGCTGTACGAGTGGGAGAACACGGTACCAGCAGGACAGCTCAGTCTCTGTGCAGGACGGAGTCCAAGCCAGAAGCTTAGCTGGACTGGAGCTCAGTGGGTTGTGCGAGTGGATGAATGAGGTACGAGCTGGTGAGCCCAGTGCGCAGTGTGGTCTTGAAGAAGCGCAAGAGTGCGCGAATTGGGACCTTTTTCAAACTTTGCTTTTTCTGCTTTTTTCCGTATGTTTTCTCTTCCTTTTCTCATGCTCATGTCTACTCTACACCCCACATCCACACTATATGCTTCATAATGGGGGGCTCTGTGACGGATAGGCATCACTATGCCTGTCCAGTACGATAGATTATGAACCATCTAGTGTAGATAAGATTAGATCGTGCATGTACTTTGCCATCCGCCTTCCTTTTTGGGAAGCAACTGATCTTAACCCACTACTGCCACCTCGTACGCGTGCGAATCACCGCACCGTCCGAGTGTGGAGTCTTGTCTCTAGTCGAGAGTGCTCCTCGCACTCTGACGAACAGTGCGAGCTCCTCGCCGCGCTGAGGAGCACGGCTCCTCGCTGTCTCCTAAACCGGGCGGCTCCTCGCCAGCTCGTTGCCCTGGGCTCCTCGCCGTGGGCTCTCCTCGCAGGCTCCTCGCCAGCGTACGACTACAGCCGGCTCCTTGCCTTGCTGACGACAACAGCCGGCTCCTCGCCACGCTGACGACCCTCGACTAGGCTCCTCGCCCGTCTAGGAACTACCCTCGACTGGCTCCTCGCCCCGTCTAGGACTCACCCAACAGCACTGGCAGCAGTGCACCAAGGTCGCCCCTGGCCTATAGAGCCGTGAAGCCCGTTCACACCCCTGAACAAGGCCTCCCAGTTAGGCCGAGGTCTTACACTGCCTGGCTTGCCTGGGCTCATGGTGCTCGCTGGCTTGTGGTTCGTCAGCCTCTGTCGTCCTCTGTGTCCCTCCTAACCTGTCTGTGTTGCCCCAGCGGATGCTCTTCAAGTCCTACGCCCTAGTGATCACTCACGGCGATGCCCGCATCCCCCTTCCATCCGGTATCCCCAAGGTTTGCGAGCTTATTGAACACCTGGACCGCGTGTTCCTTAACCTCTGCTCCGAGCAGAACAAGGTGCCGCTCCTATATGCAACCATCCCTTGGTCCCCGGATCAGCTTCAGAGGGAACAAGCCGCTGCGGAAGAAGCCCGACCCCCTCCTCCTCCGTCATATAACAATCCTCCCCTCCACCTCTCCTCCCTCCGTGGTTTGACCGACAACTGGGACCGCCTGCTCGCCGCGACGGACCGTTCCTTGGATGTCCTCCACGTCGAACTTGGCCACCTCCACCGCGGCCTGGCTGAGGACCGGATCGACCAACTGTCCGTGATGCGCAAAGTAGTCTCCATCTCGGGCCGTCTAGAGGACATATGTGACGCGCGAGACCTCCCTCCTCCGTTAATTAATCCATGACTAGACCCTTACGAGTAGCATCTTCCTCCGACCGGGTTGTTCGCCCTGGTACCCATATATCCTGACATGTAACGGCTTGTGGGTTCAATGGATCTGACTTGTGACGTGCCCGAATGACCTCGTAAAATGTCCCGTTCCAAGCTTGTTGCCGCGGCCCAATTCTGGTCCCCCAGGCTAACGTCCTCGGCCTTCTCTGACTGTCCATCTTCCGGCAGTTCCGGCCTCAGCCTGTGGGCACCACCCACAATGATCATCCCTCTCATCACCTTCCAAAGGGAGCAGACAATGAGCGTGACGATGCTCAGGAGCAGCCTAGGGTGCCCAGTCCAGTTCCGCTGCCTCAACCTCCAGAAGAGCCAGCGCGCAATGATGCGCTGCGGTGCTCAGGGAGAGAGCGGAAGCCAGTAACCTGCCCAGGGAATGTCTATGGGGAGAAACAGACCCCCGTAGAAATATGCAAAGAGATCGAAAAGAAGGGGCAATGGAAAAAGATTGTCGGAGAAGAGCCGGGTAACTCCCGCTCTCAACCACAGTCAAGGCAGCAACCGGTTCCCAGACTTAGTTCTGCGCCTGATCCACAGCCAGACCAACCTTCTGAATCCTCTTCGGGCTCTGAGGACAACAAAGTCAAAGAGTTACTCATGGCACAACTATGCCGGGAAGGGGGAGTAGGATTGGTTAACATGCTGCTTGCAAAAGTGCTACCACTAGTTGACCAAGATTCTCTGAAGTCCAGCGTATGCAAATGGACATTCCGTGATATCTCGAAGCTACCTAAAGAGGAGCAAGAGAAGTGGAAAGCTGCGTGTCGCAAAGAGTTAGTGTGACGGGTAGGCAATACTATGCCAGCCCTAGTAGATTAGATTATGAACTGTCTAGTGTAGATTAGATTAGATTGTCTGTACTTAGCCATCCTCCTTCCATACTGGGAAGTAATCTATTCTGACACCTGAACTACCACATTGTCCGTGTGCAAACCCCGCGCTGTCTGAGTACGTTCAGCCCTTCTTGGCCTGCGCTCCTCACCACACCTAGGACCCATCCTAGACAAGGCTCCTCGCCTGCGTCCAGGACTCTCTTGACATGGCTCCTCACCCTCATCTAGGACATGCCCTCGGCCTGGCTCCTCGCCTGACCTAGGACACACTACGCCACGGCTAGGCTCCTTGCCTGGCTATGACTATAGCGGGAGCTCCTTGCCTCGCTCACGATGTCAAGACCTCACAACATTCTTTGCTGCCGCCCGCTCCTGGGAGGCCACCTCAATTGGCCTCTTGCCTCACAGATGCTCTCAGCACCAAATGCCTTCAGCACTGCACTCGAGCGTAATGGTTCACTCTCCAACCTGCGCATCAACCTCCGTGCTGATGCATTCCTCCTCTTGGCATAGAGGTGGACAGCGTCCTCCATGAGGTCCTGCTGGACCCAGATGTCTGCTGCGGCATCATAGAGGTTGGCAAGGGAGTACAGTTGCACCGAGAGTGACACTGGGGTTGTTTAAGGATCTCAAAGACCACCCTGCTATAAAGTCTGTTGCCAGATTGCTTATCCCTGATCCAGTATACACACAACTTTGTGGTCTCCTCCACCTTCACCAACATCAATGGCCGAGACTTTGCCCAAATTGTCACCAACTACTCCCCCTGCACAGTTTGTCATGGGACCAACATTTCCTACCATTGCACCATTGACTGTCCTCACTACTGCTGCCCCTGCTGCAATCACCGTCAGCCTGGGCATGTCAACTCCCTCTGCTCTGCCAATGAAGCCGAGGCTGCCACCTTCCCACCAGACCTCTGCTCTCTGACCAACCTCCTGAGAGGAGGAGTATTCACACAACCAGTGGCGGCCATGTGGACAATGTGTGTGGTGTCAACAGGAAAAGTGTTTCCTCTGCATTTGCTGGGTGTTTAGATGTACACCGAGCTATTACAGTTGTTCACGGGGAACATGCTGAGGTTCCAGATCAAGGGTTGGGTAGTAGAAGGTTGGGAAATATTTATAAGAATTTACTAAATTTATTAGAACAGAGATCTTGCCTAGACACAGTTCTGAGATAGTACTACTTCCAGGTGAAGTAGCACTCAGAGGATGATAGCACTTACTTATAGTGCTATTGGACAAACTACAAGCAAGCTAATGACTAGAGTAACAATCTACTAGATGAGGTCCCACACTGTGTGAGGTACTGCCTCAAATGGTAATTGCTGACTCAGACTTTCTCACACCAGCTGTATGAGAGTAAACTGGCTCTAAATTGCATGTCCCTGGCCTGCAAGATTGCATGGCCTTATATACAGGTTCTGAACTGCTTTGTCAGCAGCTGAATAAGGCATCTAGTAAGGTAGGATGTGTCAGATGCTGTATCCCACCAATCAGATCCCATCATGTGGTCTCTAGCTGCCCAATCAGCAAAATTGCTCCTTGTGATCTGATCTGAGTCTATTTGTCATCCTCCTAGTGTGCTGACTGAGCATATTACCAACTAGCTTACCAATCCTATCCCTTTGTGCTGATGAAGCATCAGAAACGACTCAGCCCTGCTGAGTATCAGCTTCTGAATCTAAGCACTCAGCTGACTTGTGGCTGAGTTCCAATCTGAATCTCTGTGGCTTCCCAAACATGTGCACGCTGTGCCACGTCACTTCAACCGCACACTCACACACGCATACACCCTACACGCCCAACCATTCTTACATCATCTTATGTCTGGAATTGCCACTGCCAACGTCTGGATTGTGTACATGTGCCGGTGTCTCCCACAGCTCCATGTGGATCTGCCACTCCATGCCATGTGGCCATTGTATGTCCAAGGTCTTCTTTTATCTCTTGAACTTCTTGGTTACTCATTTTTGTCCAGCATATTCCATGCCTCTAACGCAACGGCAGGGGCGAGAGCACGCTTCGTCGGACTGTAGGACAGCAGACGAAGACCTCAGATCGTGCTTGAGTAGCAGCAAGACTGTATATTTCAGGCATACCTGTAGGACAGCAGACGAAGACTACGTAGTATGTGAGCTACGGTATGCAGGGCAGAAACAGTAATCAAACTCACCCTCAGATCGTGCTCGAGTAGCAGCAAGACTGAGGGTGTCGAACGCGAGAGACCAGGTATATGTGAGCGAGCGTGAGCGAGGCACAAGGTACTGTAAGGAACAACAAATGCGCCATAAAAGGTAATGAATGTACGGGAGCGCACGGCGCGTGCGGCGGGATCGATGAGAGGGAAAGCGCATCACGCAGTAAGGCGCGGCGCACAAGGAAACAGATAACGTACGGGTATGTTAGATAGCCGGGGCCGGACGCTGCACGGATTGTCGTGCTCCAACAGCCTCTTGGCTCTTCAGATGTCCTGACTACCGGGAGTTTACACATGCCTGGATGAATGCCCAGGGCAACAGCATCATCATGCATACGTGCATCAAGGTGGTCTCAACTCGAGCAGACAATGGGACGGGGCCAGAGGAGGCATTGGCCGCTATCCAGTAGTTTGCTGAACATTGTACTCAGTGGGAGTGGGAACACGGCTACTGAGGGGTGCATGTATTTGTTCCTTGCTTTCCTTTTGTAGTCCCAATGCTATCATGCTTTCATTGCAATTCTGTCCTGAATTTACTTCTGATTTCTCGTCCCACAATGCGGACGTGTGACAGCGGACAGTGTAAGAGTTCGTGGGCTTGGAAACCTTGATTGGGGGGCCGGGCTGCCCATGAACCTAATGTTTGGTGGTCGCGGCACGACCGGGGAGAATGTTGTGAGATCTTGATGTTATTAGTGAGGCCAGGAGTTCCCGCTATAGTCATAGCTGGGCAAGAAGCCTAGCTGTGGTGTGGTGTGTCCTAGGTCAGGCGAGGAGCCCGGCTGAGAGCGTGTCCTGGACAAGGGCAAGGAGCCATGTCAAGAGAGTCCTGGACGCAGGCGAGGAGCCTTGTCTAGGATGGGTCCTAGGTGTGGTGAGGAGCGCAGGCCAAGAAGGGCTGAACGTACTCAGACAGCACGGGGTTCGCACACGGACAATGTGGTGGTTCAGTGTTAAGAGTAGCTTACTTCCCAATATGGAAGGAGGATGGCTAAGTACAGATGATCTAATCTTATCTACTAGGGCAGGCATAGTATTGCCTACCCGTCACAGACAGACTCTATGCCAGAAACCAATCTCTCATTGCATCCTGACCAACGGACTTCCTTCCTCCATACCTCCAAGCTAAACAAATCACACTCAAGAATGTGCACCAGTGGTACATCATCCTCCACGGTTGTATCAATGGTGCCTTTGCTAACCCCGCAAGGGCCCATGACATGACCCTGCATATATCCACTGCCCTCATCCGTGTCTACAAGGATCGCCTCGAAGCTCGTAATGCCCTGACCGAGCTCCATTACAAAGAGGAACCCTATATTGATCAGACCCAGCTCTATGGAGCCTGTCCTTCACCTCGTGAGTGACAAGAGAATAATGAGAGTCAACGCCCCAGTACCCCACACCTGTTACGCGAAGCGTGACACCTAGAGCACTAGCTCTCAATATAACCCTAAATGTAGGGACCTTAGGTTCTAATCGTCCTTGGATGGGGAGGATGGTCTGAGACACTGCTAAGTCCGTCTAGCAGGTCGAGTGGGGAGTTTCTGATATCCAAGGAGCTGGTGAAGCTTCAATAGATAACCAGGTTGAACTAAGGTTTGACCGCTACTGTATACAGGTCTTATATACATAGGGAGTTCAGGGCAGGCCCAGGATGGGTCACAACTACCTAGCCAATAGGAGCACAGGGGAGTGAGTCATGACGAGTCAGGGGCTGAGTCATAAACAATGAGTCAGGTATGAGTAAGGGACAAGTCACAATGAGTCATACTGAGTCAGAGATCACGTGAACTGCCCCGGGTTGGACCAGAGCAAACAGTGAAGAGGTCCAAAGATCATAAGCGTAACATCATGGGATTGGGCCCATGCTAGGATAGACAATAGTCAGGCAAAAATAGGGGAAAAAAATGTTGACATAACATCTGCAGAGTCGAGCAACTGTGATCCCTGAGTCAGTGGAGACAAGGTTCAATACCATAGACTCCGGCAAAGGCTGGAAGGATGACATGGGCAAAGTAGTCAGTTGGCAGAGAGGGATGTGGTCCATTCCTTTGACAGGCTCATAGACTGGTAGCGGGAGTGGATCAGCATCATGGGGAGGCTCGTTCTTGTTGACCTCTGAGGGGTTCGGGGTTTTGAGATTCAACCTAGTGGAGACGGGGGAGGTAGGTACAGCCCCAAGGACTGGGTGTGGGTGTTGTTACGTCAACGGTTGTTTTTCTCTATTTGTGCTCGACTGTTCTACTACCTTAACATGGGCCCAACCCCATGATGCTACGCTCCCAGTCTTCGGACTCCTTCCCTGTTCACTCCGGTCCAACCCAGGCAGTTCACGTGATCTCTGACTCAGTATGACTCATTGTGACTCGTCCCTTACTCATACCTGACTCATTGTTTATGACTCAGCCCCTGACTCGTCATGACTCACTCCCCTGTGCTCCTATTGGCTAGGTAGTTGTGACCCATCCTGGGCCTGCCCTGAACTCCCTATGTATATAAGACCTGTATACAGTAGCGGTCAAACCTTAGTTCAACCTGGTTATCTATTGAAGCTTCACCAGCTCCTTGGATATCAGAAACTCCCCACTCGACCTGCTAGACGGACTTAGCAGTGTCTCAGACCATCCTCCCCATCCAAGGACAATTAAAACCTAAGGTCCCTACATTTAGGGTTAGGTTGAGAGCTAGTGCTCTAGGTGTCATGCTTCACATACTAAGAGGGGGCGGGGGCAGTAGCAGTGGACACGGTTGTCAAAGTCAAAGGTGTGTCAGCCAGTGAGGCTTCAATGCATGCAAGTGTGCTCTTCAGCTCCTTCTGACCCACTCAAAGCTCTTTGACCTCAGTAGTCAACCCCTCAATGGAAACCCGTAGCCTGTACACTAGTGAGTCCATTGTCATCGGGGCTGGCTTGTCTGTCCAAATTATTGAGCCATCCTCTACCACCACCAGTGTAAGCCTCTCCTCCACGCGTAAGGTGTTCACTTCACGGAGAAGCGTACACCTGCCCAAGGAGTGCCTAGCCGCATCTATTGACTTTGTTAATGTTGTTGTTAGAAGTATTAGAAGTATCAAAAGTTAAAACTTACTGGGATCAAGCTCGAGACAGAATATGCAGACTTTAACTTGCTTGAAGTCCACTGTCTTGTCTTCCATCACGAATGACTTTTTGTCCTTCTCAAGCCACTCAGTGTCAAAGCCAGTACCACAGAGCCATAGACTGGTAAGGGAATGTTTCCCAGTCCAGGCCCACATGATCTTGCTGGGTATCTGGTCATTAGACCCCATTACCACTCTAACATAGGGTTTAAGCTTGGGTTCTGTCCCAGTAAAACCAGGGGGCACTTGCACTTCCCACAGAAACTTTGCCAAAATTCCATCTCATATGAGGGGGCAGTAATTCTGTAGCACACCTAAACACAATGTAGTCGTTGAAGGGGGCAGCAATGGTATACAGCTTCTTACTGTACCTAGGGTGCCACTTAACATCATCCCCAGACACCAGGAGTGTACATCCCAAGTGAATGGTGATGACATCAGTGTTATCATGGCACCCCAGTAGCTGAAGGGCAAAGCCCTCCAGTGCATTCCACTTTGCTTCCCCTACAATGACATTGGGGCAAACGAACATGACATAGATACCTATAACATGAGTTAGAAGGGTATGTGTAGACACGGGCTTGTCTTCACTCAGGTTTGACAGTTGACCCACAGGCAGGTACAAGTCAGTTACTTCTGCAACCTCCTTGCCCCTACCCTTAGACAAGGTCAACACCTCATCTTTCAATGAGGTTGTAGCCTCCCCTGTACCCTGCTATAAAGACTTGCAAGTATCATAAGAGAAACAATAAGAAAGAATTAACTTACCTCCTCAACAGCACTCTCGGGCTCCACCTTGACTTCTTCAGTTTTCTTACCCTTACTCTGCTTAGCCTTCTTGGCAGGCATCATGGTAGGGGCGGAGTCGGCAGACTTTGCACTGCTGGATTGTGTTTGGGCAGGCTTAAGACAGAAGACACAGACTTCAACTTGTTTGAAGTCCACAGTGTTACCTTTGCTCACAACAAACAAATGCACTTCCTGCTCAAGCCATGCATTGTCAAAGCCAGAACCACACAGCCATCAACTGGCAAAGATGTGTTTACCAGTCCAGGCCCTCATGATCCTGCTGCATACCTGTTCAGTAGGCGCCTTTACTGACTTAGCATATGGTCTGAGCTCTGCTTCTGACATGGTAAAGCCGGGGGGGCACTTGCACCTCCCATAAAGACTTCCATCCCATAGGCAGTAATCCCATAGCACACCTGAACACAATATAGTCATTGAAGGGGGTGGGAACAATATACAGCTTCTTACTGTACTTGGGGTGCCACTTGATATCCTCACCAGACACAAGGAGCATGTGCCCTGAGCAAATAATGGTGATGTCAGTGTTGTCACAGCACCCCAATAACTGAAGGGCAACACCCTCCAGCATGTTCCACTTTGCCACCCCTACCATAACATGGGGGTGAACAAACACGATGTAGATGCCTACAACATGAGTCAGTGAATCTACCCACTAGATAAGCCCATTATGTACCATCATTGTGCAGTGGACAAGGGCTTGGTCTTGCTCAGGTTTGACAATCAACCAATGGATAGGTACAAATCAGTTACCACAGCAACCTTTGAGTCCTTGCCCTTGCCCTTCAACAAGGTCAACCGCCTCCCCTGCACTCTGCTATGAAAGACCTGTAAGTATTGTAAAAGAGATTATAAAAAAGAATTTACTAATCTCCTCAACAGCATCCTTGAGCTCCACCTCTGCTTCTGCAGCCTTCTTATCCTTCTTGTGCTTCTCCTTCTTGACAGGATTAACAGCAGGGACAGAGGTCATGGACTTGTTGCTGCAGATCACATTTTGGTGGGACTTATCACCAGTACTGAGCTTGCACTGTCCGAGGAACCACAGAGGGGGTGCTGTTGACCAGGCAGCTCCATGTGCCCTCACAACTTACCTGAAGGGTATTATGCTTGATTCACATGTAAGACTTTGACTGAAGGAACTGGGGGTTGAGCAACTCATCCAAGTTACTGTGTATGACATTCCCACCAACATACAAGACAAGTGGTGTAGCCATGTGATAAACACTGATGACATAATAGATGATATCATGGACCCAGTACTTCCATAGAACTGGTCCAGCCTGTGATGAACCTGGCAGCCCAGTAGGTGCCTTCCTACCACAGTAGTTGCAGAGTTGGGGTGGCGTATGCAGGGCTGAAATAGGAGAGAAACAACTGGCTACAGTATGTCAGTACCAGCAAACAAATGTAAGGCTCAGTGGATCACCTCAATCCAGACCATCAATGAAGCCAAACTCCTGGAAGGCACTGCACTCATGGAGCAGGTGAAGTGGCAGTTGAAGGCAAAGATGGATGTAGGTATGCAGGATGGGGCAGGGTCCAAGCATGCTATAGACATAGAGACTCTCATACAGGGCAAAAGAACTGAGGTGTGTCATTGAAGGGCTGCAGTATTTAGTACTGATAGTGATTGATCTTAGGTACTGTAAAAATGCTCTTGGGCCATCATTGTGCCATCATTCCACCAACTCTCTCAGCTGAACGATGTCCTGGCTCACAATAAACCTGGGACCCAAAATTCAACAACTTGTACTTGCTACCACCCTGCTTGATTGGTTCTCACTATGATGCTGCTTCATCTCAGAAAATAGCTTTTGAAATCCCACATTTGCTCTCAACTGAGGTGCATGCACTGTCTCTGTTTGGTATGGGGTGATGATCATTGCAACATTAACTGAATGGATTTTGAGGGTGTGTTCACCAGATGTGCAAAGCATTCAAGTTTGACAGCAGCTCTGGTGGTGCATTGTGTTACGTGACGGGTTGGAGCGGGACAACAATGAAGGCGATAGCCAATACGAGAACAAACTTCTACTGAAGACGCTGCCTTTAACAAGGACTTACTCTCGTCTAGAGTCTGGATCCGTTGGGGCGTTCGAGAGGACTAGCCGTACTGGCTTCCTCAAAGGCTCCTGGTCGGTTGGGCCTATCCGAGCTTGGTCGTCACCTGCCGCTAGGGCGTAGGGGAAGGGAGCAAGCGAAGGAGATAGGATTCAAGAGTTAACCAGGTCGAACGTGAAGTTCGACCGTTACTGTACAACGAGTTTAAATACAAGAGATAGTGCAATCAGCGCGGAGAGATACATAAGCAGATCACTGGGGCAGTGTCCGGTAGTGTATGGTACAGATGGCGGGTCACGGCTACAGGTGACCGCCCGAGATAAATAATCATCGCACGGGGTGATGAGGATGGTACGAATGATGCAGATCGTACTGATGAGATGCGAAAGGACTAACCGTTCCGTAACAATTGTCACTTTGCCAAATGATGTCACAAAACATGGGCTGAGTGCTGTGTTATGCACCAAGGGGCTTCCAGGACTCTAGTGCCCGATATTGACGGTTGAACTTCCGAGTTTTCAGTGTTCTTATCTTATCAGTTATGTATGGATATGGACTTATGTTCTGCGATGTCAGATTACATACATTCTTTGATGGACTTTGCCTAGATTACGTCATGTGACTTTAGTCCGGATCATTCCATGATATTCCACGACATTCCTTGATGTCCCATCACGTCCTATATCACTCTTTGATGTTCCATCATGTCTCATATTATTCCTGATGTTCCATCATGTCTCATATTATTCCTGATGTTCCATCACGTTTCATGTATCTCTCCACATCAAACTCCGAGTTTTGGCTTACTCATGCTGCTTACCAGCTTACTCATATCCCCAAAACCTCGGACTTAGTGCTTACTGATGAACCACTGATACAGCATGTGACCTGTATCAAATGTGTATATATACTGGGCTGGTTTGCCCTGTAATGATAATGATCCTTTGTCCTCTCCTCTGCCTGCCAGCATAGGATCTTCCCTTTGGGACTGGTCTGTTCACTCACTCTTTAGTCCTTCACTGCCACTGGGCTTACTAAGCGTAAAACCTCTTTCTTCAACATCTTATCTTCTTTCCATGTACCCAACCATCTCACTTCCATCTTGGGAAGCAATCAACACTTTCACCTGAACTACCACCTTGTCTGTGTTACGTGACAGCTAGCAGTGGAGAAGCCACCTAAGCTGCAAGCCTGACAGCACCAAAGGTTAAAAGGGGCTGGGAAGGAAGGTGCACTCAAATCTGATTGGGGGACTTGTTTGACTCCTGATGTTTCAAATCCAAACAGAGCTCACTTAGCCTTTGTGCTAATGTATGCAGGCTTGTCAAGAGAGGATGAAAGTACCTAAAATTAACTAGGTTAAATGTGAAGTTGATGTTTATGCTACATGGCTTAAATATATGAGGGGAATAGTGGTGGAGTCTGTGCTGCAAGACAAAATAGATGCTGTGTATCAGGCTTACCATAATGGGTGAATGTGAACCACCAATCCATGAGGTTCACGAGGCAATCTAGTCCCCCAATCTAGGTCCAAGCCCACAAACTCTAACTTGGCTTCCTCTACTTGCGCAACCTGTCTGTCCATTCGTCCCCTTTGCTTGCCCTGTTAGCTCCCTTTGCTATTTGTACTTATCTGCAGAACCTACATAATGTGATTGTTCCCCTGCTGTGTGGCTGATACTGTGTGTGGTGCAGTAGCTACTACAGACTGGCAGCAACAGGAACACAGAGCACAACATCTTCAGCTACTGGGTTGCATCAAACAAGAGCAGTCTTGAAGATGACTGTGAGCAAGAGGCCCATACAGCTGTTGGACAACAGATGGTAACTGGCAAGATAAATGTGAAATTTACCAATATCTATATTTTAGTTGGTCCTGATCAAGGACAACCTATTTCCTATTGCCCTTATGTAGTTGATAATAAGGCCATAAGTACATGAATGTAGTATTACTGACCTTCACTGATGTGTATGTATGGGAGTATTGACTATCCTTAACTATTGTTGACTATCTGGTAGACTGATAACAATGCCCAGTCATGCATAGATCTGAGCCAGACTCTCAGAGGCTGCAGGGTTTCTGACGTGTTCAGAGGCTGAGAATACATGTTACAAAACTAATACACGTTAAGAATATCCTACACATCTCAGCGAGTCCATTGCGTCTCAAAGTCCACGCACCAGACCATAAGATACATTTCGGAGACAGGTAGCGATGATAGGTGTGTGCAGACATACGATGGCCAGACACATGGTTTGGGACTCGAGCCTTAGCCCGCGCTATGTCAGGCTGCGATGCTTCGCGGTATACTCCACCCACGCGTACCACGCACCGCCTGCGAGCGTGACGCATATCCCAAGCGCATTCGCAGGGGTGATCGTCAGATGGAAGATGCCCACCGCACACAGTATCGTCAACGCCTGCTTCACATTCGCTGCCGGCATTCGTCAGCCTCACGCGTCACGCCAGCATGTCAATTCGCACTCACCAGCGACGGTCATGTTCAGCGCCCCGACCTTCTTGTTCGCGCTCAGGCTGACCACGTTCAGCCCGAAAGCGATGACGCCGTTCCCCAGGATGACCAGGACGCGGCTGGCACCCGCGACGGAGTGCGGCGCGAGGGATGTGCGTGCCTGCGCGAGCTCGCCGGAGGCGTACGCGTAGAACAGACATAGCGCGCAGGCGAGGGGCGACGTGCGTGTGAGGAGATCGAGCGGATGGAGTGCGAGCCGCGGGGGCACAGGGAGGAAAGTCGGACGCGCGCCGCGCTGCGCTTTCGGAGATGACTGGAGAACGTTGGTATAGATGGTCTTGAGCGCGGCGAGGAAAGTACCGAGGAGTGTGAGGAGGAGGCCGAAGAACGTGAAGTAGTAGTCGCCGTAGGTACTAGGCGGCGGTCAGGATCGGGATGTAGGTGAGAAAGGACGCTACATACGCGAGGGCCACGCCGGCCATGACAGGGATGAGGGATAGGATCTTGAGGCGGGTGAACTGGGTGTTGAATAGGACGATGGAGAGGGCGGTCGTGAAGATGGGCGTTGCAGCGCGGACGACTTGGTGAAACTACGCGGATTTCAGGAAAAGAACTCATTCGAAGACATGATCACGCACCGGTATGGTTACCATCTGCAGCGACACATTGCTCACAGCGATGTTGACCGCATACAGCACGCCAAACGCCGCCAGCACTGCGGTCGATCTCGCGCTCAGCTGCGCAGGCACATACGCGCCCCTCCGCCGCAAGACAAGGCCTCCGAGTGTTCCGCACAACGCGTGCAGTGCGGTGAGCGTATATGGGAAGGGGAAGTGGACGAGGACTAGCTTGTTGTAGAGCGTGAGGCCTAGGTTGAACGCGAAGTACAGGACGAGCCAGAACGCCTGTGTCTCTACGAACTGCGGCAGCGTGAAGCGGCTGCGTTTCGTTCGCCTAAGCGTAAGCCGTTTCGAGCTTGCGGTTGCGTGCGGCGAGAGTACGGGCAGGGCGGGCGATGAGCCGACGTCGGTGAGGATGGGGGAGGGCGGTATCGAGTCGCCCAGCGATGCACTGTGCGAAAAGCGCGGCCGGTGCCGTGGAGAGCCGTATGTGCTCGACGCGGGAGCATGTCGAGCGTCGGACGGCACGGCGTCGAAAGCCTGGAGGGCGACAGGAGAGAGGCCGTCGTCGTCCAGCGTGCCGAAGACAGACGCGTGGTCGCGCATCTGGATCCGCAGCGACTGCCAGCGGGAGCTGCTGAGGTCGGGCGAGCAGAAGAAAGAGCCCATCCGGGGGCTCTGTGGGCGGCCTTGGCCCTGGTTCGGCGGACGGTGAGCGGGCACGTCGAAGTTGTTGCTGAAGCGGGCGGGACGCATCGTGGGCACGGAGGATCAGAAAGGACAGACGAGGGTGGGCGTGATGGCGGGGGCGAGTAAGCTGCGTGGACGCTGTGTACGATGGCGGCGAAAGCGTCCAGCACGATGCTGGCGGCAGCGGTGAGAGAGCCGAGCTCACTGTTCGCAACGACGAGCGGAGGACAACTGCCTAATTGAGAAATATATCACGTGGTGGCACAACTACCGTAAAGACTGAAGTCAAAGCTCAAGCCTGCGCGGCTTTGTTTGCAGCACTCACCTCTGTCTGTTGGACTGCAGCCAGCTCTATGCTTGCGCGCCGTGAGCGGGTTGACGCCGCCTCCCCAAGACTGACTCGGCGCTGGGCTTGGCGACTCGGACCGACGACGCACCGCCCTGCCAATGTCTAGTACGACCGCTTGTTTCCAGCTCTCACCTCTGTCTGTCGACCTGCAGCCAGCCTCGCGCCACAGAACGTCCCGCCTCGCGCCTCGCCGTCGCCTGCGCACCGCCCTCCTCCTGCCGTCCCGCCGTCTTGTCCGCCCCGCCCCCGCTGCTCTCCCACCCCCACCCAACGCGCACGCTCGAGAGGCGTCCATCGACACTCGCAAAACCCTCGGTTTGCCCACGCGTCGCACGGAAAACCTCAAGTCAACATTTTCAACGCTTTTCCGCGCGCATTCAGTGCATCGTCTGGCAGAGCCTCACTGCCGACTTTCTCTCGCCCTCCCGCACTCGCGCGCCGCCATATCGCGGCCCTGAAACGCTCCTCACGAGTCCCCACGCTGCGTATTGAGCCCCTGCAGGCCGTCCAACACGTTTCCATGCGCGGGACACCGCGCAGTGCGATGTTCTGCGCGGCCCACTCCGGGAGCGCCCGCAACATCCCCTCCTAGCTTCGCCCGCCACTTCCTGTTACCGCAAACGTATAGTAGGTTGCAGGATGTGCAGTGGACATGCAGAGGTACGCTCGTTCTCATGTTTTGACCCACTCGCCGTCTGACTCGCGCTACACCGTCGCGGCACTCGCCCCACCACCTGCCTCGCTCCCGTCGCAAAACACGTTCACGACGCATGGTGCGTGTGCGTGCGGCGCGCACGCAGCACGCGCCATCCGTCCCGAACGGTTTT